TTTGTTAAACAGATAGTCTGTAGCTATGACACTTGTGTGTGAACAGTCATATCAAAGCTACATTGTTGGTATCGTTCATTTTGCTTTGTTAAGCCTGCTTCACGCTAGCGACATAACGACATAAGGAAAAGATCAGTTTTATCTTTATGTCGTTATGTTCGTGCTGTTATCTTGCTAAATGTCATTATATCTACATGTTCACACTGCAAACATAACGTCCTTTTTACGTCGAGATAACGTCTTTTTTATATCGTTCGTGACGATGTCGTTATGTCGCTAGTGTGAACCAGGCTTCAGGTAATCAGCAATTCTTTGTAATATTCAACAAGTGGTTTCTTTTTTATATATATCCTAGGTGCATGAAGAACGATCAGCTCGAAGCCCTTCAAGATCAGGATCTTGGAGAAATTCTGCGCTCACCTCCGGATAACAAGCCAACAGTTTACTGCTACGAAAATAAATCCGAGTAAAGTTACTCTGATAAGTTTTCAGAAAGCTGATGGACTTCAGTGAAATTGTCACTTGTAACAATAAACTGTAGTCAGACAAGAAGCTTCAGGAGAATGGGAAGGGTGTAGAAGAACCGTTAGTCAAGTCATTCCTAGTTTATCTGCTTCCTCCTCTTGTCCTATCTTTACCATGACTAGGAGAATGTTTGTTTACAATATTTGCCTCATTAGCATATTTTAAGCGATTTAGTTTCTGATAGAGCTACCAAAATATCGGTGCTGAATATTGACAGGGCATAGCACTATTAACTGTTCCAAGGGATTTGATCCCGATGTACTGAATATTTGTTTTATTTTATGTTGGTTTTAAAACCCAAAACTTCAAAAAGAATGTACGAGTCCATTAGGGCTTGTGCCACTCAGAAATTTTGAAGTTTTTAAAAGCCAATTTCTCCTGGAATATTGCACCCCAAGAACCACACATTTCACCATTTACTAAATTTCACAAGCTCTTTAAGTGTCGCTTTATTTAGTACGGTATATTTAAACAGATAATCGGGTTATAAACAGTAAGAGATATTAGCTAAAATGTCATTTAGCACAAAAATGTACTGTCGTAAACGACAAAGTCATTTAAATGTAGATTTTTGCAAGGATATCTTGCCTGTGGGATAAATACATTAATTTCCTGAATAGGCCATGTTAGAATAAATGTATGGAAGGTAGTAATTTTATTTAAAAAGTATGTAACACCAACAACGAAACAGAAAATTATGAGCAAACAATATTTCAAGTAAGTAAATGACCCTAAAGTTCTTGGTCATGATTTGAAAAGCTTGATATAGCAATGTCCGTTGTATTTATAGTGTTGAATCGCAAAATATTTTTGTGTTACTGCTGTAGGGATATACTGATATGATATTTGAGACGATGCATTTTTTTACTCAAATAAAAATATTTTTAAACAGATTACAAACGATTTCAGCGATGCCTCAGTGTCTTCTCGGAAACTCAAATCCAATATGGCGGTCAATTTTTCTTACGTTTTCCGTCATGAATGTGAATGCCCAAAAGGACAAAAGGCATGCCAAATATAGCCCGTGTTTTTACACAACTGCCAAGTAATTATAAATTTTATAATTACGGGCCACGATAATCCAGTTACAACATCGAAATATTTGCTTACGACCGAAAAGAGTCATTGTAATTCACCAAGGTTAGTTATGATTTTTGCAGCCACAGGAACTGGATTGCTCTTCTACGACAACCATTTCTAAACTAAGTCATACTTCACGAGTTTTTCAGATTTGCTCAAGACGGATATTAACTTAACTTTGTGTGCCATCGTACTCCCGCAAAGAGCAAGAACAAATATGGATAGATCGAATAGAATTCTTGGCATCAATTAACAGTTTTATCGAAGTTGCTCCGTTCCATACTAAATTGGCTGCTTTCGATTCGAATAGTAATTCTCAATTAGACTATGAAAAGACCTCTTCGAATTCAAAAGGTTAACAAAAAGGTTAAACAATCCCTCGTGTTGAGGACGTCCAATCAGGATACACCCGTATGCAAATGAAGGAATGTTCACTGCGACTTTTAACAAGTTTTTCAAAAATGAAACTCTTGACTCGCCCTATCGTGTCTGGGCGCCGGCTTGATCGGACCCAGACTCCCTTCAGTCATATGCACTCGCACGTGTTGGTTGAGCAAAGCGGCGCTCGCGAACGCGCTTGCGCAGTATCCACATCTAAAAGGTCTTTCGTTAACGTGTGTTTCCATGTGTGTGCGGTACTCCACTGGATGTGAGAATGATTGGCTACAGTGAGAGCAAGTCAAGTTCTTTCCGCCGGTTATTCCATTACAATGATGTACCTCAAGTTGTTCGCGGTTTGTAAACGCTTTAAAGCACTGGTTGCACCTCCAAGTGAAATCATCAACTGGATCAAAGCGCGTCGCTGCTCGTGTTTGTTGTTTGTACCCGTAGCCTCGTCCTCGGTACGAGGTCGTTCTTCTATCTTCTGTCAACATCACATGGTCCTGTTCAGATTTACTTGTTTCAGTCGACTCAGTCCTCCTCAAAGGAGGTCGGCCCCTTTGAGCTGGCGCATGTTCTGTAAGATTTCGCCTAGCCGCTGGGTCAACCGTCTCGTTTTTATCGGCTCTTGTGCGTGATCTTTCTTGAGCCACAAGATCACGAGGGGGGTGTACACCTGTTGGAAAACAGCAAAGTTTCCATGTTGTGCTGTGTGTATACCTAGATTCAGATATCTACGTTTGGCCCAATCTGTAACTTATGCCTGTCTCTTGTAAAAATTTCGTTTCCTCAATACTTGTTATGCAAAATAAAATGGTTGTTGTTGTTGTCGTTGTAATGAGCTCAATTACAAAGGGGTTACACGCGTCTGACTAGAATTTGTTGTAATGAATTGATTTCTTTCTTAAGAGGTTAAAAGTGAAGAATGATCATCGCAGTAAATTTTCTAATTTAAGCAATTGGAAAGAAGAAGCCTGAAAAAAGTTCAGGGCTTCAACGGGATTCGAACCCGTGACCTCCGCGATACCGGTGCGATGCTCTACCAACTGAGCTATGAAGCCACACATTGGGAGCGAGGTCAATAGACCAATTTCGATATATTAAAATTCACCCTAACACAACAGACCTCAGCACGAGGCTCTGGGGAATAAACCCCACAAACTCTGTAGTTATTCCCCACAGCCTCGTACTGGGGTCTATTGTTTTAGGCTGAATTTTAATATATCGAAATTGGTCTATTAATTAAGTTCATATCTTCCCGTGAGGAGTGAAAGGATGTGAAGTTTATATGAAATAATTCATATATGAACTGCGGTTGTAGATGAAAGTGAAGAAT